ATTCATATATTATTCAGACTGAAAGATGATAGTGAAAGAAAGCAAACGTTACAATTTCAGTGTGAATCATATCAACTATGAAAGACCGTACAGTGAACAAAATTGATGCCCTTATCACTTGCACATAGAAGAAGACAGAAATGCAACCAAACTAATCAATATGCTGTCACTCCCACCGGCGCACCTAGTGAATCACTGATACGAATTCAGTCTGGAACAGTTAAAATTGTAGAATACCTAATTTCGAACAAACAAGAAAGGGATTTAGGTCAATCAGCAATCGATTTATTTATCTGTAGATCTAGTCTATTAATCCATGTTGAAAATATCAACCAACCATGTAAACAGAGGTCAGATTATCATGATAATTAGCATAAATTGAAGGAAAAGTAAAGATAACAAAACCTAAGATGATACATAAACCAAAACAAGATAACTGTGATTAAATGATTTTAAGCCTTGTAGAATAATTAAAATGCTCATTTTTACGTGAAGTGAAGGTCTGATGTTTGAGTTCAGAACGAAAATTCAGTAGTACTTGTTGTGACTTTGTGGCCCACTAGTTATCACGTAATTTATTCGCCAATCAAAATACGACTTATTCGCCCTTGTACTGTACTAAGCCAATGACGTTCGTTCGGTCTGATCAGCTTGGCGTCCTATTGATCCGTTGCTCGCCTAGCCTATCCAGCTGGGTCCAGAATGCCGACAACAGCCTTCACTATGTGAATCATTTATTTTAGACAAATTGAGTTTATATATCAATCAAACAGACCGCAACGCACCATAAAATAGAAAATAACACTCGTACAAAATATAGTCAAAAGGGGCTGTGAACGCGGAAGACAGTAATTAATAAACTGAATATAATTTAAGAACAGTAAGTCGTATAATAATAATCTATAGGTCAAAACGAAGCTTATAATAAGATGAATATAAATATACACAATCTGATTGCTGAATAGTTAAACCATAAGAATATATAGATAATATTAGTCTATTAAAAGGTCTCGGAAGTTACTCGTAATTTAATCTTCACTAGGATATAACGGTACTCTTTGGTTAAATTCCTCAGTTCATAGGGCATAATAATACCAGAAACTTTATGATCATTCTGATTAAACATGTACGCTAATGAACATTATTCTACATGATATTTTTTACACAAATTATTGGACAGGGGAAAAAGAATTCTGATACGAAAAAGTCACTACATCTGTTACATTTTTTTGTGGATGTTTCTTTTTCATTTAGTTCTGTTACATTCTTCAACTTAATACCTAATCAGTTAACTCTAAATAAAGGTCAGTTGCTTACATAATAGATTAGTGAATGTGCCACTGGATGATTCGTGTTTCATTTCCGTGCGCTCACTTTGCAGTAAAACTGTGACCAAAACTCTTAGCACAATAAATCTAAATATATAATGGCTAAAATTTAATTTATGACTTAGTTTCAGAAGGTGTTTTGTGGAGATTTTAGTAATTTCAACAGTTGAAATCATCAGTCAATTTAAGCTAGGCCACCATGGAAAACCTGGAAGCACTGGACGGCCGTTTCGTCCCATTGCAGGACTCCTCACCAGGGCACAACTACGGTCCCACCCCCCACGCGAGATTTTAACCCAGGACTTATGAGTCTCGCGCACGAGCGCTTAACCATTAGACTACTGAGCCGGCATCCAACGGTGTTAATATCTAACTTCAACCAATCCACGAAATTGCGCCACCGTCCACCATTGTCTTCAGTGAGCTGATATCTGACACAATAAATCTAAACATATAATGACTATAATTTAATTTATGACTTAGTTTCACATAAATTTGTGAATCATATTAATCCAAGATCATATTAATCATCAATTCATACTAATGATAGGAATTTAGTTTTATGGATATTATAAAGTTCGAAAAATCCCTACATTATAATTCAGAACAAAATATATAAGTGAACAATATTGTTTTCGATTAAATCCTCATCAGGCTTTACTCTAATATACAGTAATATTTACATGCATATATGAACTTATTAAACTAATCAAGGTAATTTAAGAGTCAATGATAACAGTGGAATAGATCATGTAAATAAACGTAATAAGTGAAAAGTACAAATTGATCGTGTGATGACAGGTGTACTAGATGTGATGAGAATAATAAAGGCTTAAATCAATGTTACATAATCGAAAATAGGTCAATGATTAAAAAAATATGGACACTGAAATAGCATTCATAGAAAGATTATAAGATTACATAATAAGAGGTTTTCAGATAATCGGAACGTTAAGCGAATATTTGAGGAGAGAAAAGAGTGGGGGGATATGAAGAAAAAGTAAACAAGGAAAGAGAGAAATAATAACAAATAAAATAATTTATTAAGGCCAAGGGTGTTGCAAATTTCTGATGAACACAAAGACTTGGATTGTTGGCTCGAATTCCTAAAGCTTCTGCTATGTGTTAAAGACCAAATCGAACACGATAATGAAAACTAGTTGGAATATGATAAATAATGTTAAATGACTAATTACGTTTATTTACGTGATCTATTCCACTGTTATCATTGACTTATAAACTACCTTGATTAGTTTAATAAGTTCATATATGCATATAAATATTACTGTATATTAGAGTAAAGCCTGATGAGGATCTAATCGAAAACAATATTGTTCGCTTATATGTATCATAAACTTGTTAATAATTTTTATCTGGTTGATGAAATTTTTCCGTGTTTTTTATCAAGCCGGATAAAAATATACCGAATGAATATGCATAATATTCAGCCTCATCCCAACTGTTGTGTTGCATAAAACGCCAAAGATTTGGAGCTGTTTTGTTAGACAAATTAACCATTAGTAATAATAATATACTGTAACATTAATTGAACATTTTGTCATAGGACTTGACCTTATCAGTTTGAAACGATAATCTCTTTCACAATTCCTGAAGAAGACTTTGACGGAAAATGGTTACCCAGAACGGTTCATAGAAAAGAATATGAATAAAAGTAGTCGTGAGAAGAATTTTAGTTGTTCCGTTCCAAAGAAAAACCTTTATATAAGTCTGGAATTTAAAGGTGACCGAACATCGGACGTAATCAAAAACCGTTTAACAACAACTATTAGAAGAACATTTAACGCGGCAAAACTGCGAATATCCTTCACTAGTAGAAAATTATTTTCTGTATCCATAAAAGATAAGCTTCCGCGTTTGGTCTCCTCCATGTGCATCTACCAGTTCACCTGCTCTTGTGGAGCAAGGTACATTGGCCGTAGCCAGCGCTCGCTTTCAACTCGGATACGAGAACATATCCCAGCCTGGTTCTATAAGGGTGAAAGGAAAGCAGTTAGGAGTTCTATTCTTGAACACCTAATCGACTATAACCATTCAACAGATCCACAAATTGATTTTAAGGTTGTTTATGTGATTCGTTCAAATCTACCCAGATTTCTTCGTATACAACTTTTAAAAATAGCCGAAGCTCTTGCCATCCAGGAGCTTAAACCAGAACTATGCGTACAAAAGAAGTACGTATTATTGTTATCGTTACCTTGGCCTTAATTAGTTTGATTATCCTACCATTAATGTTATTATTATTATTATTATTATTACTGCATTCCCCCTTTACTTATGCCTTATATTCTCATTGTTTTATTCATGAACGCTCATCATATCAGTTTATTTTTGTACACCTCTATGACCTTTAATTATTATTTAAAAAAACATTTTAATCATCTTATTATATTCACCAAATCCATTGTTATTGTTATTATTCATATTACGTAATCTAGTATTATAACCTTTTTATTAACTGTGTTCACATTTCCTCACGGAATTAGTACTTTTACAAAAACAAAATTTTCATATATATACGATTGTACAGCTTGATAATAAATTCGTTGAAAAGCGATCCCTTCGCTGAAATTCGTGTTTTAATTTTGTTGTTTAAATGGGAATTATCTGTTAATAGATTATTCTTGGTTAAACAATCATTGAAAACCAAAAGGCACTGGATTGTTATTTAGGTTTATTATGAAATCTATCAACACTGCATGTGCATGTCACTTTCAACAGTCAAACTATAAACATACAGGTTTCGAGACAAGCGCCTAAACTTCAGACTAGTGAACTAGTATCCAGTAGTTTACATGTAAAAATTTGATCAATTCGTATTATTGTCCAATTATTGCCCATTTCCATTGGTGACATTTATCTGATGTGACCCAATAAAACCAACAGAATTATTCCTAGGTTATAGAAAAAGTCTACTTCGTTATCATCGATAGAGTCATAATTTTAACATCTATCCGGCACCAACATTATATCATCTTTATTGTTTACATGAATTCTATGAATTTTTACCCATCCAATGATTTCAACTGTTTTGAATATAAATACTCATACTAATCAAAATAAGAATAGTATAATAAGCATTTATGGACATAATACATTTTCATTTATTATATTCGGCAAGTGATAATTTCTTAATGTTTGTCTATTATCTTTCATTTAAACATTATGTAAATAAATATAGTAATAATAATGAAAATGTTGATAATAAAAGCTCTAAACAATTTACATTACTCTTCATTGTATATGGATACCTAATGATTAAGTCAGTCAGTCAATCAATCAATCTAAACAATGAACTGATTAACCATCAAGTCGATTAACCAACCAGGCATTTATTATTCATGCTTGGCTGAAATAAGACCCATATCTAAACAGAAAATAGGGATATGCACCATATGTATTTGCATATTAGTATGTGTATACGAGAATTTTTTTACAAAGGTGTTCTATGTGTGTGTGTGTGTTTGTATATATGCATATACATATTTGCATGTATTTCAATGTGAATGAAAAGCTTTTAGAGGAAATGACATAAAGAAATGACAGGTGAGTGAGTGAGTGAGTGAGTGAGTGAGGGAGGGAGGGAGGGATTGAGTGAGTAGATATTTGAGAATGAACTTAAGACGACTGGTTGAAAAATTAACTATATACACATTAACTCACATACAATCATGAAAGGTATACAAAAGTGTAAACAAAATTGGATGATGGATACTAAATAAAATGATACATTTAACAAATTTATAATGAATTACATTTTAACACATTTTAAAATACACCGAAATGACTCAAATTTAATAAGAAATAGAAACTATTTATATCACATTGCATCCAAGTACACAATACAAATACAATGTTTTGACGAAACAAAACGGTTTGTTTTATTACATAATGTTTTCTGCATTAAAATTATGGTCATTTTCATCAAAACAATCATACATTTTTAAGATATTTCATGCTTTTAGAAAAAACTGTTCAGTTGTGGATTTAAAAAAAATTTAGATATTAGCTATGGAACCAATTTCAGGTCAGTTATTGTGAACAATGTAAAACGATTGCATAATTTTTAATCTACTACTAAATTAATTATTAAGTAGCGCTAGAAGCAAATAACTCATGTTTTATCATATTTGAGGGTTGTGTAGTAAATTTACTTGCGTTCGTTTGTTGATATTCACACAGAGATTTGAACTCGTTGCTTGAAATCATTAGAACACTGAATCATGATAGTCAACAGCTATTTCAACAGGTATTTTGCTGTTGCTAATATTAAGGTTTACTTTTGATTAGTAACTAATAGTATATCAGTTCCTGGAGTGGATACCTTAATATTGTATGTCAACACAATATATTAATAGTGGGATGCAAATATATCATTATTTCCAAAATGTTATGAGTAAAATTTTGTAGACGAAGTTAAGGTATGTATTTAAAGCAACAAATGTGTGTAGTAGCCAACAGTGTTACTTTGAGTATCTCTCAGTGTTTAACTAGTTTATGATACTTAAATAATACAATTTTGTTTAAAGTTGCTTAATGCTTTTTACATGTATGTAATTAGAGAATGTCAGTAAATTAGTGTTAATCAACCACTACATTAATTATGAAAGCTTGTATTTTCTCGCTATTAACATTCAAAATCGTAATCAGTCTGTCCATGTCGCGATAGATGTCAACTAACCATATGAATGGAAAGCGTCTAATCAAAAAGTTTTCTTCGTTTTTCATGTCAGTCCCAAACTCAAAATTATAAACTATTAATTGTTTGATATTTAAACTATAAAATGACTTTCAAAAATGTATTTCGAGAATTTTGTTTTTCCACTGTCCAACTATGCATTACAAGTTAACTTTGATTGTTTAGAATACTTCTTTCTTTCATGTAAAATTATTTCATGCCATTTAAATGATGAATCTTTCATAAACATTATCTCTACATTTATTTAACAACTCAAGAAAAAAATACACTAGCTACCAAGTTGTATAGTGATTTTATCTATTTCCATCAACTGATGGGAAGTAGTTGAATAAATATCTGGGACATTAATCAATTAACATGTATTTATTTATTTAAATGACTGTATGTAATGTTCAAGTTTATCAATAATGTCTCGCTTTTTCACTCAAGCGTATAGAGAAAATTGACTATCACGATGAGACATTTATTTTGTTATTATTTCATAAATTTTGTTAATATCATTCGATTGAATATTCGTTTTAAACAATGTAACAGTAGATCAATTATGAGAACAGGTAAGGTAGAGATTTCTGACGCTGAATATATTCCACATAACAGAATGAATTTATATAGAATATCATTAAAAACTAAGCGCTTTCAGGTTTTCCATGGTGGTCGAGCTTCAATTGACTCATGATCTCAACTATTGAAATTACTACAACCTCCACAAAACCCCCCTTTTGATACGAATCAACATATGCTCACTAGTGACCGGTTTCAAGATGAATAACCTGGAGTTCTAGTGAGAAGCAGTGACCAGCGGAGTTCAACCGGGTCAGTTGTGTGATAGTAACTCACTGATGACAATGGTGAATGTGTCGCCCAATTTTGTGGATTAGTTGAAGTTAGACATTAACACTGTTGGATGCCGGCCAGCTCAGTGGTGTAGTGGTTAAGTGGTCGCGCGCGAGACTGATAGGTCCTGGGTTCGAATCTCGCGGTTAGCGGGGTCATGGATGCGTAGTACTGAGGAGTCCCGCAGTTGGATGATACAGTCATCCAGTGCTTTCAGGTTTTCCATGGTGTTCTAGCTTCAATTGACTCATGATCCCAACTATTGGAATCAATATAATCTCCACAAAACCACTTCTGATAAATTAGATAGATTTTATTATCTAATTCTAGGATAATCATTAGCATCAGTTACACATGTTAAGATTTTAAATTACTTAACATATCGATATATACATATGTAAGTTGGTCATTTATCATGAATTGTTTACTGACAAGTTTAAAGTTGTAATTGATTCAATGAATGTCTGAAGAAAAAAAACAAACTATTATCATTACAATAGTTTATAAATGACAAAACTATTCGCATAAACTGTGAAAGATTTTACAGAGGCTAATCGTCTTCATGTTTTTTAAATGATGTCAAGCATGAAAACCGCCAGAGAAAATTTTTTTTAGAAGAAAAAATCATTTATACATACCAAGAGAAAATATTTTTTGAAAATAAAAATTAAATAAAATGGATATAAAATTAAAAAAATGAAAATAAAAACAAAAAAGAACAAAAAAATTTTTGGAAATATAATCCAATGTGATTTGATCAATTATTTTTTTTGAAGTAATCACTATGGCATTTAATCCATCGTGTTATTACATAATGTGTATAATATAAATTCTCAATGGTAAATAATCATGAAACTGTTGAAAATAAGATAAATTGATAATAATGTAATTATCATGGATGTATTTAAGCAGTTTATTATCATAAATTATTGTAGGTGTTCCTACCTGGCCAGTAGTAAGAGATGTTTAATACTAAATTAATTATCAGTATAGGGGTTGTGGAGATTGTTAAGTTTTTGATTGAGATCATGAATCAATCGATGTTAGACCACCGTTGGAAACCTGGAAGCACTGAACAGCCGTTTTGTCCTAGTATGTGACTCCTCGGCAGTGCGCATCCACCATCCCGCTCCCTGCGAGATTCGAACGCAGGACCTATCGATCTCGCACCAGGCGCTTACTCAACTAGACCACTGAGCCGGCATCCAATGGTGTTAATGTCTAACAGGTTTCCAACAGTGGACTAACATCGATTGAATCACGATCTCGATCAAAAACTAAATTAATTGTTGATTACGTATGAGTAAATGAGATTGACCTTTATTATTTTTCATATATTTTTCATATTATTTTCATATAAACATGTCTCTTACACATTAATGCAAATAACTATTTACAAAAAATCCTTCACGTTGATTGGATAACATATTCAGTATACAGTAAACCGAAGAACCATGTACCTATTTAAATTCGATAATTTTGTTGTTTGATTATACTTTCCTTGAAAAAGCTTGGACCAGATTGTCTGGCGAAACGTTGGAATTACTTCAAATTCTTTCGCTGAGATTTTACAAATACATTCTTCCTTTTTTTGATGTCTGAGATTACTTTTGTTTGTGTATCATAAATTTTATTTTAATTTTGTTTACAAAAACTCATTGGCTCAATTTAATTCATTGTATGAATATTGTAGTATTAGTTTGCTTAGAAATCAGATTTATCTTTAAACACTTCGGTTTGTTGTCACAAATATGTTCGGAATAATTACGTGTGACTTTAATACAATTGATAACAACCTATTATTTTGATTACATGTGTTAGTCTGTCTTACTTGCAAGTGTAAAATTGATAAGAGAATATAACGGCGAGAAATTTACTACGCAATGAATACTTCTGTTCCATTCGCGAAAGCGATGATTTGAATCTTTTATTACTAAGATTATATAGCTTACTACGTTTAAGAAATAACTGAATTCAATTACATCTTTGGCGAATGAAAATGTATTTAAGACGGCTTATAAATGGCTTCATTTTAAGAAGTTCAACAAATTTCTCTTATATACACCAATACTTAAACTTATTAATAAGAAAATAGTATTTTTATGGCTCTTGTTATTTTAATTAGCTAAGGTCGAATTATCATTTAAATGGATAATTAACTTAACTAAACGTGAATTTGTTTTTGTGATCTAGATGTGCAATGATATTATGCTTCATTTAGTCTTGTTTTATTAACAATACATTTAAGTGTGTTGAGCAAATAGTGTGTTAGTTATCAAAGTCAGAACCGTAAAAATGTAATAGTGATTCATTGAAAATGTTAAGTGAATTTATTTAGGTTAATAGATCACGGATAATAGATATGATTACATTTTTTTTAATTTTATGAAATCTTAAATGTAATTAATACTGACTAGTTCAATCAATTCTGGTACAAGTCACTTATCAAGGACAATAGAAGATGGATACGCATTGTCAAGAACCGATCGAAACCAGTGTATACGTCTCAACTGTGTAAAGATTAATCGCCTTGAGGTTTTGGGTTCGATTCCTGTTCGAGACATGAATGCTCACTGTAGAGCAGTTCTGTGCCGAAGCAAAATGGCTGCCTTTCAGTGCTTTCTGGTTTTCAATGACTATCTAACTAACATTTTATTTGGGTCACTATTAAACTATGCAAACAGAATAATGAATTCCTGTCAAAAAACTAAACTCAAAATTCACCAGACAGTTTGATTTAAATAATTGAAGTAGTGTTTAATGGTAGATAAAAGTGTGATTATTGCCAGACCAAAACATTGATCTATAACTTTTTACCGGTTGACTGTACATACTTTAAATGTTGTAATGAAAACGATAACACCGAGATTTTCATTGCTGGTCCACGATATCCACTGATAAATCATCGAATTGTTGACTTTTGTAGGCTACAAATAAGTAAGTGGCAATATTTCGTCATGTTTTCACCAATGAAGCCTTCGCCATAAATTTAGGAAGGCTAGAATATTATATTTCGGAAGTATATTTTCAATTCCTTCTACTATAGTAGTAAAATTAAGTTTTCCAGAATTGTCATTCTCCTCTGTTTCACTCGAATGATCTCCTAAATCTAAGTGATTTATTTTATTTCTCATATGCTTTCTGAACATATTTAGTTTTAATTTCAAAACTGTGCTACTGAATTCATTTCCACAATTATTGATCTTTACTTAACACATGACATTTTTCTTCAATACTTAAGATCTTATCAATTAAATTATAGTCTCTTCGTAATTTTGTTTGTCTTGCTCTCTCGATAAATTGTTGCTATGATCAACAATTATTATTGATGATTTTACAAAAAAAGAAGAATGTTAGGAAAAGATTTGTCTTAAAGAGATCTCTTCAATAATTTACTCTTTCTGGTCACAAATCAATAAACATTTTAGATTGAAAGACGTTTTTTCAACATGAATTTTGTATGGATTGATGAAATCGATTTCTTCTTACTAAAAACTTGTTAGACCATCATGTCAGTGATTTTTTTCTTGTGGAAATAATAATTGTGTTTTTAAAAAAATTATATCCTAATGAGTAGAAAAATTGTATTTCTAACATTTCGTGACCTAATATAAGCCACTTCTTCAGAGTAAATTAAAATAATGAAAAAATATATTTATTATTAACTTTATAACCGATTCTAGGTTTCCGAAGGTGGTCTAACATCAATCGGTTCATGATCTTAATCAAAAACTTAATAATCTCCACAACTTCTATACTAGTAATTCTCAATTTAGTCGAAACGTCTTATGGAATGTTTAATTTCATGGATTCAGAATATCACTTAATAAAGGATAAGCTACCGATTTGATTATGAATATGAAACTCTCATTAAACTATTGTATTAGATAATGTTAAATGTATTCCATCATGTATTATTAAATGCAACAGTATTATAAATATTCTATTCTTAGTTAATTAATTTCCAAAACAACGTATCTAGAATATCAGTTAATGGTTTAGTAAAGAATGAGGATTAAGGTTCTTTTTTACTTTTTCATTGTTTAACTCAACTATGTTGTTGGATAACATCAGAAGCCAAAATGTTCATTGTAGATCTCTAAATTTCGTTTATTGAAACTACCTACATTGTAATATTTATTATGATTTCTGTTAAATGTAAGTGCTTTCAACTGATAAATCAACAATCTAGAAATTTCAAATTACCCTCAAATATTATTTGGTTTTAGAATAAAATTAATGAACAGATTCACACAGTTAGTAAACATGTTGTGGTGAACACAAATTAAATGGGGTTAATTAATTTATTGATTAACGTGAAATGACAAAGTGTCTTGTTAAACTTTGAAAAACATACATTACATACTTTATTTGCAAATCATCCATCAGTCGTCTTCAATTCTTCTCTGTTACACTTTCTGTCTTCTTCAATTTCATCTTCTCGATCTTCTTTAAACAAGCATATCACTAAATAAAAATAATATATTTGTAATATCCCAATCAGTAGAAAATTGGATTTTTCTGACGTTTCGTGGCTTAGTGTAAGTCACTTCTTCAGAGAATAAATAACCAAATTATTTATTCTCTGAAGAAGTGACTTACACTAAGCCACGAAACGTCAGAAAAATCCAATTTTCTACTGATTGGGATATTACAAATATATTATTTTTATTTATAACAATCAACCCAATGCTCAATTTATTCGAAATTATCAAATCAAACCTTGGTAATGACACTTACAAGCATATCACTTTTGATTTATGTGACATACTACTTATATAAGTGGCATACATCACTAGTTTACTATAAAAAAAGTGAGAATCCGAATCTTTCTGCCAAGTTACTTTGTTTTATGAATAAAATATTTCTTTTAATCTAATGTATTAGTTTTGTTCTTCCTTGAAAATCATAAAACAAGATTATGATTTCAAGTAAATAACAATTAAAATGTCTTAATTTTAGTTTTATACACAATCAGTATTGAACAATAAGAATACGTCTTGACGTAATAAAATAGAAATGATGTTTCCGGTATACGATACACTTTATTATTTCTTACCTTTTGAGTAAATGAAATACACATAGAAACAAAAAAGAAACGATTTTTGTGCGAATATTTGCTTATAGAATTTTACAAGGAAATATTCAATTGTTTAATGAGTAAAACGTTCACTATTTTATGATTTTCACTTTGAGCTTACTTCTTCTTTTCTACGTCAAGAAGTAATAGGTAAGAATACATTTTATGATCTATTGAGAATAAATTAAAAATATTGAATAAATAATTTTTAAAGTAGCTGGATTAAATTTTTTTCTGGTTAGCGTTTTTTTTAGCGAGTTAGTATTCTACGAGATGGGGTAGTTAAACCATGCCTAACCCTCCTCCTTTATTTGGGCTTGGGACCGGTAGTAACCAAAGAGGGGTTCCAGGCGGAGTTTAAACTAACTGAAATGCATAGTAAAACAATTGGGTTGATTACTATTTCAGTCAATCAGTCCGTTATAGGAAGGGTAGAATCTGACACATATATGCATTGGCTTAAATTATCATTTCCTATAAGAATAGTGTGATAAAATCGTCAAAACGAATTCTACAGTATTAAACGTAGTTACATTATTAGTTCTAATAGGAAAAATTAACTATTGAAGATATTATTCCAGTTGAAATTATAGATTATCGAGAGAGAGGAAAATATTCTATAAGTTAATTTAAAAATGTAGGAGTTAAGTGAAAATAATGATTGAATGCATTTGCTCCACTACGAACGATTTTGAACCATACTATCAAATGTTTGTAACGGTTGGTTGCGATAATCCCCTGAACCTAAGCAGGACGTCTGCAGACGAGTGGAGAGCTCAGCCAAAAAATCGCTAAACTTATAAAATGACCCCTCAACTTGATTTGACTGCTACTAGCTTTCTTCCATCTTATTCATACATCAGAAAACATCACTCTTCAAGGTTGGCGTTAGTTGAGAATAAATGATATGCGTCCCAATTATTTCGCTCAGTAAAGATTTACTACCTCATCATTTGGTATAACATCTCTGTCCAGCCTCAGGGTTTCTGAATGCCGAGCACATGCGAGTGGTACTTGAAAAGCATCTATGTTCAAATATTAGAAAACTACGAATATAGTTTATTTTTAAAGGTCATTTTTTGCAGACATAAAACGGAATATAGAGAATTGTTTTACAGTATATTCGTCCTTCCGCTAACTGACGAAAATCATTTCTACGCCACTAGTAATGAAGGACGATGAAAGCCAGTTGAGCTGTCCGAATTTCTTTCAAAAATTTATAAGACTTCTATGGTAAGCGAAGTGGTTGACGTACTAAATTGTTTCACTCCCTATCCGTAGCTCATCTAGATTGTAAGAAATTCATCCGAATGCAAGTGGTCAGAAGACTAAACTATGTAAACGTCTTCATCAGACAAGACTAACTCATCAGTGCTATGATCAGAACTGACGAAAGATTGTGATTAAAACTCGATTAATTCCGTAATTTATTAAAATTATTTTTCCAGTTGCAAAAGGTTGATTGTAATCTTGAATAATATTTGGTTGATTCAAACCTTGAAGTGCATGTTCACAAACCAAGAAACAATGTTTATCAATCCTGATTGAAAGAATTGTGATGAATAGCTTCATTTATTCTTCTATAAGTATTATTATCCACATATTTCATGGTTTGTTCTTGACAACTATGTGTATTAGCATGTCAAAAATCCTTAATCGTTCATAAATCAATGTAGCAAATACGATATATAACAAATCAACTATAATGAACTGGTTGAACTATACCTGAAAATTCATTTTCAAGTAAGAGCCCAAATGTTTTTATCCCTGCATAAAACGTATTTGTACATATGTTGGCTTCATTTTACCCAACAACCAGAATCTTTTTAACTTAAACATTTGTGTATCTAGTTTAAAGCTTTTTAGTAGTATCATTTAGAAACGTTTCAGTATTTTTATTCATCACATTGTGAATCTCTATTGTTTTAGGGTATTCTGGATACATTTTAATTAGATTTGATTATCTTTTCAACAACTAATTAGTCATTTCTTTTTGTAATTAATATATTCTTTCATATTTAATGATTTCGAAGGAAAATATATATTAAAGATACATACTTTTCCTTCAAATAAACAGAATGAAAAAAGGCATGTATTCTTAACTAATGCTGGTAATAATGGTAATTTATATTATTACTTCATTCATGAAATTTTACTGATATATCTGAGATTCTCATTATGGTGTGTGCCACTTATATCAACGCGACTGGTAAATAACGCTAGTTTTGAATAGAATGTCTGGCAGCAGAAGGTTAAGGAGATCGAAGAAAAGAAAACGAAAACACATAATGATTAGTGTAGAGACGAAGGAATAACGAAATCTGAGACGATTGACTGATAATTTGCAAATGAAATATTTACTGTATGAATCGCTGATGTTCTGTAATTTTTTGTTTAAATAAATTCGATTGTCCCAACTTGTGTTCTCGTTCACTACACCATTAGTACGTTTTGTTATTTTATATAGCTCTTAAGAATAATGAATAACAAGTGTCTAGAAATCAAATTTTAACTGAACAACACTTTAGATTTAAATAACTTTGTTATTAGTATGTTCTTAAATCCAATTCTGACAATAAACTCTACATGAAACTAATATGAAGAAAGCTTATTTATGAAATAAATAAAATAATGTAATTGTAATATATCAGGGAGTAGAAAAATGAGATTTTCTGACGTTTCGTAACTCAGTGTAAGTCACTTCCTCAGACAATAATTAACCAATCCAAAATTAATCCAAATTACTTAGATTAATCTGCCAAATACTCAATGTATTCGAAATTATCAAATCTTGGTAATAATACTCATTTACTGAATGTTTATAAATTCACTTCTGTTCTAGATATAAATCTCTAAATCTCTGAATCAATGATCTAACAGTATCTCAACTTGAACATTATGTACTCTAGATTATATCTTGTATTGATTTGTAAATACATACTGTTAAATGATAACTTTAATTGTTTTCATTTTAAAAAAGAATCGTTTCCATGGTTATCATCATGGTTTTTTTTTAAAAATACACATGATACATTAGTTTTGTTTTATTTTCATTTTTTTATTTTAGATTCTTAAATACAAGTATTCAAATATCAACAAAATATTGATCCATTTGATCCATTCTTATTATATCTATGAACAATTCAAGATGATTTTACTTTGTAATGATATTGAAAAATCAATCAAAAAAACAAAAAACAAAACAAACAATTCAATCAATGAATAAATCAAAACGATTTTTTGTCACCAAACAAAAATAAAAAAAAATAAAAAAATTTTTTTAAATAAAATATCAAAAAACATTTTCTGAATTAATTTCATTATTTTATATATTTTATTTGTCAATTATATCAATTAGACAATTTTTGGTTGTTCTTGTTGTTGCTGTTAAATACAATGCTGACAATTCAATGTTTAAAACAACAATTCATAATTATTTATTTATATAATCAATCATGGAAAAGTGTTCTATGTATGAATGGAAATAAATTACACATGTTGATTATAACCTTATTAATTGGTTGTTTAATTGATTTTGGTAAGTAAATTATTATTATTGTTTCAGTGATACTATTCACCCATTAATTATCATTGATATTAGAGTTATTCAGTGATTTTCATGACTTATTAAAGTATTATTTTAAATATTTTGACATAAATAAAATCATCTGCTCACTAGTGACTGACTTCAAGAGATACTCCTGGAGTTCTAGTGGGAAGCCGTTACCAATGGAGTTCAACCAGGTCTGTTGTGAGATATCAGCTCACTGAAGACAATGGTATATGGTGGCACAACTTCGTGGATTGGTTGAAGTTAGACATTAACGCCGTTGGATGCCGGCTCAGTGGTCTAATGGTTAAGTGCTCGCGCGCGAAGCCAGTAGGTCCTGGGTTCGAGCCCCGCGTGGTGCGGGATCGTGGATGCGCACTGCTGTTTCGTCCCATACTAGGACGAAACGGCCGTCCAGTGCTTCCAGGTTTTCAATGGCGGTCTAGCTTCAACTGACTCATGATTTAAATCTGTGAAAATTTCTAAAATCTCCACAAACCCCTTCTGATAATAAATAAAATAGATTGATTTGTCTAATAAAATTATAACAACACATATAAGTGAACAATTAGATTGTCAACAGGCTTTACTCTAATATACATGAAGATTTATACGAAAATGTTAAATCAATCAAGGCAATATGGGTCAATAATCACAATGAAATAGAATAGGTCACCACACATAATAAGTAGGAATACAAGTTGATAGTAGGAAGACAGGTGTACTGATAGTAGTAAGAATAATAAAATACGATAACAAAAGTCTTATCAATAGTTAAACACTGGAAATAGAAGGTCAAACATGGGTAGACAGACTAGGAATAGTCAACACAAAACATTAAAATCATTACGTAATAAGAAGTGTGTCAATAATTAAGTAGTGAAGAATACAAACGGAAAGAGGCGTAAAATTACAAACAAATACTAGATGTAAAAATAAGGCTAATGATAGCAAAAAATAGAATAAAATAAATAAATAATAATAATAATAATAATTAAAGAAAAAATTTAAAGACTAATGACGATCTAATTGAAAATAATATTGTTCGCTCATATGTGTTGTTCTAATTTTCACAATGGGAATCTTTAATATTCTAATAAGATTATAAACAGTTCATAACTGTATTACTTAGTTACTATGAAGAAGTGGCTTACATTAAGTTACGAAACTTCAGAAATACAATTTTACCACTTATTGGGATATTAGCTCTATACCCAGTGTTCAATCTATTTGAAACTATCAAGTCTAACCTTGGTATTGATACCTATAGTTTATAACTGTATTACACCTATGGGTGAAAAAAGTACTTACATAAATATGTTGAACATAAACAATGAATAATGATATTTGCTACAATTTCCAAATATCAATTAGTAAATAATTTTATTCTGAAACATTTTAATTTTTCTTAATGTAAATTAGTTTTGCTGAAGTGGTTCAGACTTTGGAACTGAACTGTGATATTCTCACGGTGGAATCTATCATTTTATCATTGAAGTTAAACTAATGTTTTCACTATCAAGTGAGGTTATTTTTTTCTAAAAAACCTGTTCTCGCTCAAGTATAAATACCTATGATTAGTAAAACTGTGTTTTGTTAGTACTCTACCACCATTAAGTTAAATTACATTTTATTTCTAACCTGAAATGTATTTACATTTTCGTTTATCCTTATTATCATATTGAATTCCTGTCTACGAGATAAGTTGAAAAATAAACTTCAAATAAATTTCTGATACCTTATTAGATGAGTTATCTCAATCTTTTGTAAACAACATCTTATCATCTTGAACTGATTGTTATTATTATCACGGTACATATATTTACTACACGATCATTGCCTTAACTTTTCAGTTAGCCATATTCAGCATAGAATCAGGCACATATATACATAGGCATTTGCTTTTTATTAATAATTTACTCATATTGTCTACTTCAATAATAGTAATATTAAAAAAAAATGCCATAAGATTGAATATGTCATTGATCTATCTAACTTATTCTATCCTAATGTATAAGGTTAAATGTCTACATCCTGTTAAGTGAAGATGGGGAAATAAATATTGCATAATTGTTTTTTTCTTTCACAAAATTATCCTAATAAAATTATTACACATATGAGGGAATAAGTGTAAACGAGATGAATTAAATACATTTCATTATGGAGACCGTTTTTCTGATCTGATCAAATAATAATAAAGAATATAACATTGAAACTAAAGTTTTCTGATTGAATCAAAACAATCATTTCTACAGTTTCTGTAACGTTAGATGAAATAAATGAAGTTATAGTTATTATTACATTGGCATAACTAACTAAATTTATCATACATAAAACCGTCTTAATAATGTAATGCTTTCGAGAGTTTTGTGTTCGATTTCTGTTTATTATGTTGGAATGAGTATATAATCTGTAAGTCATAAATCATAAACGTGTACCACTTGACATCCGTACACAGTATGTACCTGCTGCATAAAACTAAATATTAAAATACTAGGAGGTTCGAACCCATATCACTCCAGGTTGTCATCCCTGATCTACTAGAATTCGAATCAGACGAATTATTATCCCACCGATTATGATCACAGATACACCGAATTAATAATCATTGTTAAGCAGTCCCAAGCTACAGTATATGAGATGAATGTGAGTCATAACATATGGCAAATTTAGTGATCTGATATAGTCAAATATTTTTGCAGTCAAATGATATGATTTTTCCACTGTTAGAGATCAACTATGGAAGACTCTATAAATGCATCGTCAAAGGAAACGACATTTTACTTCATTTTAAATCGTCACCCATACTTGTTCGAAGTTTGAGTCTTTGATATTTAGTCAAGCAGAATTTATCATTATTATTATTAATAGCTTTATTCAACATTATATTTTGGTACAATATAGAATTCTCAGCACAGGGTATTTCAACAAGTTTCTTACACAAAAAACAGAAACAAAGACAAAAAAAAGGAAAAGAAGGTTTAAAAAAATCTGAAAAACTGTATAACTTTTCAAACTAGAGACATGTTAAGGATGCAAGTTATTGACTAGGTTAACTCTAACAACCTGTTCGTCACAGAATATATTTGTTAGGTAAGGTATTATAGAACTTTTATACTTTTGCCTGTGTGCATGGATTTTAATGTAATTACATCTCGTTCTGCCAGAAGGTACACAAAGAGAATGGGGGATGGTTAGTATGTGATATCACGTGCAAGGAGTTTACAAAACTTTAGATGTTTATCCAAAACCATATTAATGATGATCTCAAAAGATTCACCATACACCTTGCTAACTGCCTTCAGCACTCTCCGCAATACAGCAAAGTCTTTTCTCAAAAGCCCGGGAAAGAATAATGGAGAACAGTAAAGAATAATAGGTAGTATGCAAGAATTGACAAATTGTAAGAGTAAATGACGAATAATCCCAAGAGCATACAATCTCTTTATGTAGTAAGTCAGACGGAAAACCTTCTTCGATAACAATAAAACGTGAGAAGACCAAGAAAGATCAGGGGAAGAGGTGACACCAAGATAATTGACCTTCGACACTATGTGGACAATGGCTACTAATAGTGGAATCCAATACATGCGTTTAATCCTACTTGTACCTGTGTTAATGTTCAAGCAGGAGCTCAAAACGCATTACCTCTGCTTCAAACAGCTATTATGTTTTCTTCATAGCTACCAAGTCAAAACAGCCCCTGACTTGTACAAGGTGTTGAATGCTGTTGACTTAGTAGCGTTGTCGAAATGATTTACGCAAGACGTGCATATGATAAAGGAGACTGATCAACTGCGGTCCATAACATCAGCGGAAAGATTTAAGCATCCAGTACAAATAAATTTATTATGCATTTGTTGTTATTAACTCTAGTTTTTTAGTTATCCACCATTTGAATAACATTTTCTTGTATAGATTCTTGTGTTAATCTTCTTAATGATTATTGTTATAATTATAAAATTATGTTTATCATCATCAGTAATAATACTGATTTTTTAACTATTGTTGAACTGATTTTTCTCTATAGATTGAAACACTTATGATTATTAGAATTCGATATTGTCGGTAAACATAAACAGGAAAACAAAAAAAAATTATAACAAAATGCCTTGATACAAATGTTTAATCAGTTGTCTTATATTCATTCTTAGTTTTATACAAATACATTATATCAGTGTAATGATTAAAACATAATATGAAATGTCAAAGATTGTTTTGAACATAATAGAAAAAAGAAACAATGTTATGTTCTTAAAAGTATGATAAGTGTTAATTTAACAACACACATCGGAATGATGAGAACGGATGGGAATGGATTAATGTTTATTTTCAACTGTTTAGACTGAATCTTTTATCTTGTGTCCTAATCTCCGGATACATTTGATTATGTTTATGATTGATTGAAAATAAAGTTTGACTAAAAGTCTATATATATGCGTAAGTGCAGGGTTTTAATGATCACTAATAAACTGAAGTGAGTAGTTATGCTAACGAGATTTTAAAAAAATAATCAACTAACTATTTTGTTTTAGATTTGTATATCACAACGTTTACTACTCTAAACGAGATCAAACGCATGATCTTATAATCTGTTTAGGAAATACAAATATATTGAAATCCAACACCAGTTTTCTTATGTTCGAACAAAGAAAACTTAACCATCCAATTATAATGCGTGAATAACTCCATCAGGTAGAATTGATAGGTTTAAAAAGTCGGAGCAATTTTTTTTGTACAATCATCAATTTCTCGGTCTGATAGTTAGTTATGAAACGATGTTTGTTTATTATTTATTTAGGAGATTTATTCCATCTAAATATATTATCACAGAGTTATATCAACTTGCGAAATATTAAAATCACTAAGCACTAAATTGTTTTTCCATCTTCGTCCATCTTTAATGCTGTAAATATCTACAAGCGATCTATCTAGATTATAATGCTTTGCTAATCCAAAACTACCAACAATTATATTTCGATTTTAGC